TTGCAGATCCAACATTACGAAACACACTTTATGTATGAACGTGATGTTGAGCCACTTATTTATGCATGTCCTTTTTGCAGGTAATGATGATGATATTTTGTCGGCTTGTATGTAATAAATAATTAGTAATCGCAGCTTATTTGCACTCCCAGATTCGCATATTTAAAGCTCAAAATATCGTAACTCTTGTCATTTCCCTTGATGGATGGGGGAACATGTAGTTCCGTCAAGTGTGATTAATTGTATGCAGTTGGAATTTCCAACTGCATACAATTAATCGAATGAAATATTTAACCACAAAGTATGATTCATTCTCAAGTTTCATTCTCAAGTAGGAAAATCCCAGCAATTAAATTCATTCCTGAGTGATTCATTTGTTGATTTGCAACTTTGTTTAGAACCATTTAATCACTTGATATCATTCAGCCAATTCTTATTAATCCTAAATTATGGGATGATATATAGTGTGCGGTATTTATACTAAAAACCCATATCCGGGTATTGCTTACGTGCGTTACCATTTTTCACCGAAACCATGAAAATAAAGTCGATGTGGCAAAATTGTTAGATAATAATTTAATCCGTGGATTAGGATTTGTCATCATGCCACGTATGTAATTTTCTCCATTTACGCGAATTCATCTTCCAAGTGGGATTACTTCGTTATTATTCATGGAAACCATTATTGGCTTCGACATAGAGAAGATTAGTGGAACTCAATCCCTATAAAACTTGGCTTTTTCATAAATTGTCCCTCAGTATTATAATAGCTGGGCTTCGAAAATTCTCAATAAGTGAGCATAATTATTTCGATACTTTGTTTGTTTCGAATAATTTTTCTCCTTTACTTAAATTAAGAAATTTAGTTGGAAAACAATTCATTAAACCTAAACAAGTCAGTATCTTGGGCTTGGAAATATAAAAATGTCACCCATAATTTTATTAAAAAATCACCAGAATGGCGAGCTAACTGAAGACCGCCTTCACAAAGCTATATCGAAATGTCCGTTTTTCTCAATGCAAAAGGTGGAACAGACTTGCAATGATGGAGTTTGTAAGTCTTCTCTGGTATTTCCATCCGTGAAGGAGAATACATCTCATCGTACAAAGGAAGAGGTGAAGGAACAGGCGAAGGCATTCCTGAAAGAGTTTATGGCAGGGCAGAAAGGTCTTCAAGGTCCGGAAGAGGAGGAAGCCAAACGGTGGGGTGAGATTGAGGCGGAAGTGAACGCGACAGGAAGTTACACTCTTACAGAGGCTGAGTTAACCTATGGGGTAAACCTGGCTTGGAGGAATGCACCAAGGTGCATTGGACGCATTCAATGGAATACGATTCAGGTATGGGAAAATTTAATTTTGTTCGCTATCGTAGCCTTTGAGTGTTTTTTTATTTTGTTTCTGAATAGTTGTTTGATTGTCGAGAAGTAACCACGCCAAGTGATATGTTTAAGTTCATTTGCAAGCACTTAGAATTTGCAACTAATAAGGGAAATATCAGGTATGCCATGCCATTTTCGAGAACCCAAGACAGTTAGATATTTGGCATATAATTAACATCAATGTCGATATTTCGGATCAGCCATAACTGTATTCCGACCAAGAAAAGAAGGTGCCTCAGATTTCCGTGTGTGGAATCAACAGCTTGTGGCCTTTGCTGGATATCGGTTGGAAGATGGCTCTACTGTTGGAGATCCAAGCAATGTAGAATTCACACAGGTAAGACTAGTTATGCGGTAAAACCGCGGAAAAGAGTCTATTTTTCGATTATTTTTTGGCCATTGCTGGAAACCACCATAACGCAGACCTACACAGGACCTCAGGGAATACATTCCATTATATTCTCTTGAGATATAGTCAAGCAATTGTTTTCACTATGTTGCACCCAGTTGAGACTGAACCAATGAAACATTCAACATTTTGAACTTTCGCGCGTCAGGAAAGCATTAGAAATAATGTTTCCCCCAAATGCTGTAGCCCAAGAACCAGCATCTATCATAACGGAAACGGTTTTATCACGCACCCAGAACATTTTAGAAATATTTAGTGTCTTCGTGCCCCCATCATACGTAAAGTTAAATAGAACATACCGTAAACATTTCGAAAAACCGTGTGCCTACCTTATCCCAATAATCGCAAGGGGCATCTAATGCTTTTAACCGTATCCCTCTGAATCATGTAGGTTCCCCACAAGGTCCCTTAAAATTTAAGGTTGGCTTGAGTGACAATATTCTGTATGTTTCACATGTACTTCTATGTAGCATTAAAGTAAATGGGCAAAAAATAGAAAAAAGTTTTGATACCGTACATATGTATACCCCAGAAAGCTATTTAATTTTTGAATTGTTCCTTGATTTGTATTAAACTTGGATGGGATACAAGACCAGGGCGATGGAACGTACTGCCATTAGTGTTATCGGCCGGTGGTCCACCAGAAGTATTTACTATACCACCAGAACTTGCCCTTCTGGTTCCGATATCCCACCCAAAGTAAGATTAATAACTAATATACATATATATTCCTTGGATGCAACAACTAGGATTGCGTTGGTTTGCCCTTCCTGCAGTCTCAGGCATGACAAAATAATAACAAATTCTAAATTCTTCCCGTTTTGGCTTAGACAGTGGTCAAGTCATTTTCAAAATATTCGTCTAACTATAGAAGTATCAAAACTTTGATGATTTTAATGTTTTACTTTCCCCCGAAACTTTCAGGTATGATGCTCGATTGTGGCGGCGTTGAATTCTCCGCCTGTCCATTCAACGGTTGGTACATGGGAACTGAGATCGGCTGCCGAAATCTCTGTGATGAGCATCGATACAACCAGTTGCCCATTGTTGCCGAGCGGATGGGGCTGGATACAAGAAGCCTGGCCCAATTATGAAAGGATAAGGCACTTGTTGAGATGAACATTGCGGTTTTGCATAGTTTCAAGGCAGCTGGTGTTACCATTGTGGATCATCACACGGCGTCCGCACAGTTTATGACTCACCTAGCAAACGAGAAGAAGATTCGCGAAGGATGCCCTGCTGATTGGGTTTGGATTGTCCCGCCAATGTCTGGTTCACTCACCCCAGTTTATCATCAGGAGATGGCGGTGTACTCCCTTAAACCTTCATACGATTACCAGCGAGCGCCTTGGATTGGTTATCGGTGGAGTGAGGTCCAAATTGCAAGAGTTAAGACGTTCAGATCGGATGATGTCGAGGTTGAAATTATTTCTGAAGGGAACCCAAGGAAGACGACGCTAAAGTCTGTGGCCTTGGCTGTAAGATTTATTCAAAAAGTGACCCGCTTTTTGAATGACCGGAAGAAACCTGTTACTATTGTTTTTGCAACAGAAACAGGAAAATCAGAAACTTTTGCGAGGAGGTTGGCTCAATCGCTAGGAAAGTCTTGCAATGTGAAGGTGCGTTGAAACATGTTTTAGCAGGTGTCACTTTGGTTACTTTTTATTTTACACGCTGTAGCTATCATCTATGGAGGAGTACGATCTTACTCAACTGGATAAAGAGAGAACCCTTCTTGTGATAACGTCTACTTTTGGAAACGGTGACCCGCCAGAAAATGGACAAGTACGGAAGATGATATTTTTTTTATTTTGCACTATATGTGCCTTAAACAATTTTAATTTCATTATATTTCAGAAATTTGCAAATCATCTTTATGCTCTTAATATTCTTGGCGGTGAGGTTGCTACGCTTCCAAGTCGCAGCAAGCGTGGCTCAAAATCCTTTATTCGTTCTAACAATACGATAAGAATCAAGGATGCAACAGTACTATCCGCTGCAATGATGGCAACCAGAAATCGTGAGATTTATGGTTCTAATAAAGCTGCGTAAAACTGATTGAGTGGAATGTCTTTCGCTGTATTTGGGCTCGGATCGAAAGCGTATCCGAATTTCTGTGCTTTCGCAATCTACGTAGATAATCTCCTCGGGGATTTAGGAGGCTCTCGAATCATGGACATTACAAAAGGGGACGAACTTTCGGGCCAGGATCAAGTATTTGCCGAGTGGACAAAAATAATTTACCAAAAACTTGTTCACACTAACCCGCGCATAACACTGAACATATCTGGGACCACGACCCCTGACAATTATTCCTCAATTACGAATGAGGAAGTAGACATTAAACAAGAACATCAGAGTTCCTCTGAAAATCCTCGATTTCACACCTCAAAAACCTCAGATGATTTTATAACTGGATTAGCTGGACTTCATCCTGGCAGAAAAGTGCTCGATTACAAATTAGTAGGACGAAAAGCGTTAAATAAGGATGGAAACACGTACGTAAAACAGGCTCAATTTTAAGTTAATTAGTCCCTCTAATAATTATGTTTTTATATCTTGTCAACACAGTATCAATTTGGTTATGCAAAGTTGGAGCTCTGCCCCACTCGAATATCGATCATGCTGGAATTTGTCCATCCAATCCTTCAGAATTAGTGACCAGGATAATTTCTCGTTTAGATAATTTACCAAGTTCTCAAGACGCTGCGGTTCAGCTTTGCACGGGTGAGGTTTCTTTCGCCAGATGGCCTTGTTGTTCTCTGATGGAACTTCTACTGCGTTATCTTGATGTTTCCGCTCCTCCGTCGACAACCGTCTTGGAGTATTTGATAAATTCAACTATCGACCAAAATGAGAAGCACCGATTAAGGAAACTTGTCAACGATAGGGAAGCTTGCGGGCGTTGGCTGGAAAATTACTGGCCAACACTTCTCACTGCTCTTAACCAATTTCCAAACTCAAAACCGGATGCAGCAACCCTTTGCTCTCTTTTACCAAAAATTCAAGCTAGATTTTATTCCGTTTCTTCAACCCCGATGACTAGATCGGATGAGTTGCAGTTAACTGTTAGTGTTGTCCAATTTTTAACACAGAATGATGGAAAGAGATACGGGCTTTGTTCAAATTATCTGAATGAAATTCCATTGGGGACCATGCTTCCATGTTTTGTGAGAAGGTTAGCTATATGATGAATCCCCTATAAAACTAACCCATTTGAAATGCTGTCCATTTTTTCTTAGTGCGCCATCATTTCGTTTGCCGGACGATAAAAGCGCCCCCGTCATCCTTGTCGGCCCGGGTACAGGAATCGCTCCATTTAAAGGATTCTGTGACGAGATGGCCATAGGTGTCAAGAAAGGAGCCGAATTCGGAAATTGAACTTTGTTTCATGGATCCCGAACCAAAACCTCGGCCCTGTATATTGAAGAATTGCACAGCTTTAGAAGGGTCAATAATCATTTTAAGCTTCGTGTTGGCTTCAGCCGAGAAAAAGATCAGAGAAAGGTATATCACGAATTAATGTGGATATTTAACCTTTATGTTGTTATTGTAAGTAATTTTCTCATCTTTCTTTATGGATCCAATTTAGACCTATGTTCAAGACCTAATTCGAGAGGAGGGTCGGTCTATCCCAATAGCCCTGATGGAACATGGTACCCACTTGTACGTTTGTGGGGATGTGAACGTGGCACAAGGTGTTGAAAAGGCGGTGATGGCTGCAATCAAACAACATTATTCGATTACTGAGGAGAAAGCTGAAAAGTTTTTGCTAACACTTCGGGTGAGTATATTTCTGATTTTGACACCACAGATGTAATATTCACACTTGCTCTTACACCAACTTCTATATATTTGTTTTATATTTAGGATGAGGATAGATATCACGAAGACCTTTTTGGCGTCCTATACAAAACAACGGTCCTAAAATCTTGTGTACATATATTTCTTTTTTTTACTGCATGTCGTGATACAAAGTCTTTTAAATGCATTATTTGTTTTATTCTGTATTTATTTTAGGACGGGAATTTGAAGACCGAAGCAGGTTTTCGAAATTGGATTTCTTCCTTGTTTAATTAAAATTTGGGAGATTTGGAAATATGAATGATTTTGTCGAAAGTTTAACGGTGCTTGGGACCTAACATATTTTATTCGTGCATAAATTACATGGAAATATTTGATCCATAACAGGATTACTTTTCAAGGCTAACATTATTAAATTGGATTTTAATTTTTACAAAATAATAATACGGTTTTCTTTGTAACAAAATTATTTTGATTGATTTAGGACATATTTATCACGGGATAGTCACTAATTATTCAATATTAGTTGAAGTTAATTCATTCTATTATATGAGACAATATAAATTATAAAAAGATATTTAATATATTAAATAACAAATGAATAATGGCATTGTTCAGTAAAAATTGTACTTGTCCCTCACTTTTCAAGCTATACTGATGCTTAATATCTTAAATTGTTTACAAGAACACGTTCTACAATAGTACTAGAGGAATGAAACTTTGTTTTATAAATTAATTATGTGGAATTTAAAGTTTCAAAACGTTTCTCTAGTATTAGAATAGTGAGCAGAAAAAAATCACAAATTTCTATAATAGATTTACCCATTTTTAGCCCGAGTCAGGGCTTATGTAACTGTCATGTCAGTCTGTCTGTCTGTCAAGTGGATTAAGCCAAGACGATTGAACCGATCGACTTGCAGTTTTTACCAACTACGTATTGGGCAAAGTTAGGAATCGAGTTCGAATATGAGCCAACTCCGTCCATTGGTAGACAGGTGGGGGTCATATCGGTGTTTTAGGGACCAAAAGTTCAAAATGGTCGTAGAGAGTTTAAACTTTGTACAGAGGTTGATAATGGCTCTTAAGGAAGGAATATGAGTTGAAATTGGGAAAATTTTAATTTTTCAGGCCCCTATAGGGTGACCGTACCTATTTTTCAACATTATCCAATTGACGTGAAATTTTGGTTAATTTTAGGTTAGCGAAAGTGGAAAAGGTACCTGTAGAAGGGGAAAATTTAGATTTATGAGGCGCACCCATAATTAACGGTCTGGCTATGATACCTCAACAAACTAGATAGATATATTTTCTTCTTACATCTTAATTTTTCTCAGAACAAAAAAAAATATTTGTCCATTTTTTCGTTGTTGGTATGCATTTATTGGAACTAATCGGATGAAAAATATGAGAGTTAAATGATACATTTATGTTAAACCGTTCACATCAAATTTTAAGAATTGTACCTGAAAATGTAAAATTTAATTTTAAACATTTCAAATTTTTTCCAATATGTTTATAACTCACCCAGGTTTCCATTTTTTATATCACCCACATAAAAGTTAGTCACGGCAGAGGAAAATCCGTTCCAATTTTCAAAATCAGAAATTTTTTTCCTGCAATATTTAGAACTTTGCAGGATTTTGAAACCTATGGGCTGTGTTTATCAGCAATCTTTTTTAAACACTGAAAAGAGTGTGAGAGTAGCGTCGGTATGTATCATATCGTCGTTGAAGCTTCCAAAGGAGCCATCTCCATTTTTGGCCGTTACTTTCCCGTATGCTTTAACATGGGGTAACACATTAGAGGATATGTAGCAACGGCCAAAAATTGAGATGGCTCCTTTGGAAGCTTCAACGACGATATTCGCATCCTACAAACAGATACATTATCTTTCAACTGCTGTTTGGATTTCTATTTTTGCATACATATTTTACGTATATGTATTTTGCATTTTGATATTGTACACGCACCGGCAGCGTGGATAATGCTTGCGTGCATGTTCTGTTTTCCATCTACAAATTAATTTTTGACATTCAATCCATCCATTTCAGTCAATGTCGAAAAAATGCATGGCCGAATTCCTTTAGTCCAGTCATTAAACAATTCGCCATTTGTATATATATATTTATGTACATGCACAACAACCTGACAGCTCTACAAGATATTATTTGTTTGTTCCTAATACTCCAATCCAACTTGGTATTGTGTATGTAACCCTGGTCTCATCAGTTAGTATGAATTATAGCTCGCAAAGACTATGGTCCCCTGGGACCATGTAGATCATTACAATTTTGGAGGGACGAGGGACCAGGGGCCACTAAAAGTTTTGTGGGACCAGGGCCAAGGGTCCACTAAAATATTTGGGGACCAGTGACCAGAAACCAGTAAAATTTTTGAGGGACCAGTGACCAGGGACCATGTGTTGGGGTAGACTCCCACGGCTTCGGGTTATTACTTCGGGTTTCGGGTTCAGGTCCGGATTCGGACACGGAATTTCAGAACCCGAAGTTTTCGGGTTCGGGTTAGGATCAGACAAATCGGGTCCGAAACTTTTCGGGTCGGGTTTGGGTTCGGATTTGACATACTCAGAACCCGAACCCTAATTGATACGCTTTTTTGGGGTAATATTAAACTAAAAGTTAAATAGAAGCACATTGCCTATTAAATTCTTATAATTTGTAAGAAAGTTACGAGTAACTTAAATTTCTACTTGTTTACTGGAATTTTTTTTGAACATATATAACAAGTAAAAAAATTTACGTGCAGGAGTCATGAGGTTCTCCAATAATTGTTGTCAGTAATGACAATGAACTGATGAGTAACATATGTACGTAAATAGGTCTTTAATACATAGCTATAGCTATTAAAAAGGGCTATACAATAATTACAATAGTTTGAAAAATTAATAATTAATATTTTTTTCTAAATCTTTAGAACAAAATTGCCCAGTGTAAACTATTTTTATAAGATTTTTACTAATCTCTAAACTTAATCTCCTTTTGAATATTTTAAGTGTGGAAAAATTAGAGCCAGTATTTTAATCTAAAAATTCAGGGTATCACTTAACACAAAAACACTATCGGGGTTTTCGGGTTCAGATCCGTGTATATGGGTTTCGGATTCTTCGGGTTTGGGATAAGTTGAGGTTTCGGATTAGAGGTACCGGGATCGGGTTTTGGTTTCGGATTTGCAAGAACCCGACCCGTGGGAAACACTATGTTGTGGGACCAGGGACCAGGCTGTTCCATCAAATGTGAGAAAAAAATATTGGAATCACTAAACAATCCGTCATTTGGTATTAACCCAGACAATATGACAGTTCAACAAGTTTGTTTGTTTGCTCTAAATTTTCTCGTTCAGATCAAACCGTATCAGGTCACTAGGCATCACGATGAAATGATGTCAGTTGGAAGATGATAAGTCCAGATATAAAACTAGGTTATAAAATCCCCATAGCTCATCCCATTTGCCCCCATTTTGTTGAGATGTGGTGGACTGAGTTCAATTTCAAAGAAATTCGAACTTATTAAAATGAAACTCAAAAGAGTTGCAGTAACGGTGATTTTAGTAGTCATGGGGACCACAACCGGTAAGTATCTGCATATGATAGATTGAAGAAATAAGGAATTTCCAATATATTTTAGGTTGGTAACGTACATAGTTTAATCAGAATTTTCCTCCTGCAGTCCTGAGCCAAGAATGTCTTTCGGACTCACTTCGAATCAACTGCTACCTATGGGAGGGGGCGACTCAAGAACTCTGTGAAGCCAAGGGATGCACCTGGTGCCCCTCATCTATGGATGAACTCGCTCCGTCATGCTACCTCCCCCCAAACTATGGCTACAATATTGACGGACCAATTTCTGAAATCCCGGAAGGTGGCTACAGAATCAATTTGAAGAGATCCCCGGCTTCAAATATTTCATATGTGGGGGCAGATTCTGAGGAGATATCTACCTTCTTTTATTTTGACTCTGATGAAAGACTACGAATTAAGGTACGTGTATGTATATGTGCATGCGGAAATTTAGAATGGTTTCATTGATAAGTGGCCATTTTACATCATTTGTTCCCGTTTGATACACATTTACCTATTTCAAATTTGATGCCGAGCGGTTAACTTTTTAAACGGATAATTATAAAATCAAATGTCAATATACATATTACTGTGTAAAAAGTCAACCTGATAAAAAATTATCTAGGAAGGAATTTTAATTTTTACTAAATCGATTCAAATTTTGCGCACATTATTAACTGATTGATGGCATAGATAACGGATAACACGGATCGATTTGAAGTGCCGTTGGAAATCAAACCACCAGCCAATCCTGGAGGTGAAAATCCACAATATCGCATTGAATTCACAAACAATCCCGTTTTCTCCTTCAAAGTTATTCGAGTTAGTAGTGGAGCAGCCGTATTTGACACATCCCTGGGCGGACTCACATTTGCAAATCAGTTCATTCAGATTGTGAACAAAGTACCCTCTACGAATGGTTATGGAATTGGGGAAAATGAACAGCTCTCTTATCGCCATGATTTTAGCAAGTGGCAAGTCTTTCCTATCTACACGAAGGATGATGCTCCTCTGGTATGTAAATACAAAAGACTTTGTTTTTCTAAAACTCGAAAGGTGATATTTTAAGACTACTTAAATAATGGCGTCATGGATTGTGGGCGTCGGGGTTTACGTAGCATAAAAGTTTGTAATTGTCTAAAAATCATTGAAGGGTTCTCGATACATATTGCATAATCTATTTCAAACCCATGAAAAATGTCCAAAAATTAGATCACAATTTTATATTAAAATTAAAAATAAGTAGGATATTATAGGCTTTAGTAGCCTATTTCTTGTTTTCTTAATATCTAGGGAAATAAAAACGTATACGGGGCCCACCCCACTTACACGATGGTTGAACCCGATGGGTCCACCCATACGATACTCTTCCTGAACAGTAACGCCCAAGAATTTCTCCTGACCCCAGCACCATCTTACACCTACCGGACCACTGGAGGTCTGCTGGACATTTACATTTTCATGGGCCCTACCCCAGAAGAAGCGGTGGGACAGTATCACCAGGCCGTGGGACCCCAACCTATTCCGGCCTACTGGTCACTTGGATTCAATTTATGTCGATGGAATTACAATTCGATTGGGAATATGAATGCCACCATTGAACGCACACGGGAGGCGGGAATTCCGCAAGATGTTCAGTTCGGGGATTTGGACATCATGTTCGATTGGCTAACCTTCACCTACGATTCCAATGCCACTTACAACAACTTCTCGGGATTGCCGGAATTTATCAGAGAATTGAAGACGAGAGGAATTCATTTCATTCAGAGTGTGGTAAGCCTTTTTGGGTGCTCGTCAATCACGGAATTCAAAATTTTGAAATCTTCTTCCAATTTTAGAATGCACAGATCTCCTCAGAGGAGCGACGTCTCCCGTGGTATGAACCACTTCGGTTGGGACATGAGATGGATGTTTGGGTGAAGCGACCGAATGGAACTCCCTCAACAGGGACGCTTTGGCCCGGTGGGGAACATGAGGGATGGGACAAACCTGCCGGCCCTGGTTTCGGAGGTCCGGTTCATTTTACAGACTTTTCTCGCCCATCTGCCATCGAGTGGTGGAGGATAATTTGTGCCCAGTATAGAGATGTGCTAGATTGGGATGGTCTTTGGTTGGTGAGTGGAAACTTGACAAAAGTTATGTTGACATTGAGTTTCTGATATTTTGATGGTTGGATAGGACATGAATGAACCCGCCAGTTGGGTTTCGGGGGATGTGGTTGGATGCGCCGACAATTTGATCAATCATCCCCCATACACGCCAGGTGGGTTTGGTTCATTAATGAATTTAGAGAAGTATGAATCAAAGATGTTTTATTATGTATTTATGTAAATTTCAATTCCCATACAAACCCAGGTATCACGAACAACATTTCTGACTTAACGATTTGTCCGGACCATGTTCAGGATTACGGGATTCTGTACAACACGCACAGTCTCTATGGGTGGAGTCAAGCTCGCGGCTCATTTGAGTATGTAAACTGCTTTAAACGAAAATATTGTTTGTCTGCCCGTCTGTACACAACATATGTTAGAACGGATCAACATTTTGGGAATTTGTGTTCGGGAAATTATTTCTTATAATCTGTGAACGAATTAGATAGATAATATATTTCATTAAGGTCAACAGCATTGCTCTTGAATCCTTCGGAACAGGGATAACGGCCTTATTCTCATGCCGACGGGGGTTAAAATATTGCTGGATATCAAGCATCCCAGTTTTTGTTATTATTTATTTACCTACATTCGACACCGGCTGGATTTCCGTCCATTAATATCATGCGAGCTCATTTCTGATCTTGGGCATGTTGTGATCCCTATCAAATTCATCATTCGATAATGAATACACTTGAATCCAATAAATATTAAAATGTCGTAACAATTTTCAAAATCATTAAATATGATTTCAATAATTTTATATTATTCAAAATATCAGGTTCTTAGGAATTACAGAGCCATGTCTCAAAAAACTCAAAAAAAGAATAAGAAGAAGATGAAGGATAATATTGAAACATTACATTTCGTCTTAGGCTCAATTTATCTTCTTTAGTGTGGTCACTCTTTCAGATATCTGCTTAGCAAGCAAATATCTGAAAGAGTGAGATTTTGAATTTTGACCACACACCAATATTGTACCCACCTAACAATATATTAATATCAATAGCTTTATTATGACATATTTTAAACACTTAGAGCTTATAGGGAAATTATCAATAATTTTATACTGTTGAATCCATAGAGCCATCAAACCGCTCTTCGGAACAAACCGGACCTTTCAACTGTCTCGATCCACCTTTCCCGGTTCAGGGCAATGGGCGGCGCATTGGCTTGGAGATAATTTCTCCACCTGGGGCAACTTGGCATCCTCCCTCATCGGCATAATGGGCTTCAATCTCTTCGGAACTCCCCAATCGGGTGTAGACATTTGCGGCTTCTACGGCCGACCTTCTGAAGAACTTTGTACCAGATGGTTGCAAGTTGGAGCCTTCTACCCATACTCCAGGAACCACAATGTCCGGTCCACCTCTGAATTCGACCAAGACCCCGCCAGTTGGTCGGAGGCGAGTAGGAATTCTACGAGGGAAGCTCTCATGATCCGCTACACCATTCTGCCCTACATGTACAACCTTTTCTACATCCACCGGGTACGAGGGGGAACTGTGATGCGGGCACTTTGGGCGGAATTCCCCGGGGACCAGGTGGCCCTTGGGGTGGACACCCAATTCCTGATTGGACCCGCTTTCCTGGTTTCTCCAGTATTGACGGAAGGTGCTACTGAAGTGGAGGCCTACTTTCCAGAAGGGTCTCGGTGGTTTGCGTACAGAAATGGAGCAGAGATTGAGGAAGCAGGAAGTGTCATTCTGACAGCCCCCTTTGGTGTTATTAATCTTCATGTGAGAGGAGGCTATATCCTGCCCACGCAAGAGCCCGCGTTGAATACCATGCTCTCCCGCCAAAATGCGTTTGGACTCATTGTAGCCTTAGATGGATCCTATGCAGCTAGAGGAGAGATGTATTGGGATGATGGAGTTACGCATGGTAAGTACATGGTAACAGTTGCTGCTGTATTAATTAAAATTATACGGTTTCGTTTCAATTCTGAGCAGAAGTCCAGGATGAAGGAGTCTATTTCCGGTCGACTCTTTTGTATATTGATGGAAATCTGACACAAACCGTGGTTAATGACGCTTACCAAGGTATTTCCGGCTTGGAAATGGACTCCATTCGACTCTTTGGTGCTCCTTCTATCATCAGCACCATTCTCCTTAATGGAGAGGAACACACGGATTTCGAAATCCATCTTCCGGGAAACGAACTTCGGGTTCATAATTTGAACATTCCTGTCAATTCCAATTACATGATTACTTTCCTGCCTTAGCTTAACAAAAACAATATGTATGTAGTGAGTATTTGAAAGTTTTTGAAGTTTTTGAAAATAAATTGGAAGAAATCACAAATTCTACTTAACCGATAAAATCTGTTTTCTCGCAGCGTAAATACACATCTTAATTCATTCAGATGTATTCCACACACATGGGGATTATTATTAACCGCACCCGGGAGAGACAGTAATGCCACCGTCCCACAAAAAATTTAGCTTTTTTTAAGATTTGTTTAAGATTTTTCTAAGATTTTTTTACAAATTCTGAACGGTTTGTAGCCCTCATTTTTTGCATTTAATGGAACACGGATGCGTAACTTTGTGGAGGACACTATTCTCCACAAAGTTACGCATCCGTGTTCCATTCAACGCAAAAATGAAGGCTAAACACTTTTCTAAAAATTTCGAAAATTTATATTATATTATTTCCTTCAAAATTTTATTATGAAGTCCAAGCCTCTCAAATCAAAGTATTTATAACCCAATAAGTTTGCACTCCAAATAATCCATACTCCAAACAGTAAGTATTAACAAGTGGGAACTACATAGCTGTGCATTTATTTTTATTCATTTAAATTGTTATTGCAAGGTATGGAAATAGAGAGGTTAATTTTCTCGGTGAAATCGTTAAATTAAAAATTATCAAAAAATCAATAGCCATATTATGCTGCCGCTTCCTGGGCGAACACGCCAAAAATGTTTTAGTGAACACGTGACAAGCTTAGCCAATCCCGTTCGTTTCCATCCATACCTTCCTAACCTTGTTTTCAACTAAAATTTTTCCGTTGGATGCATAAACTTATCCGAAGTACCGAATTTTAAGTTTACGATTATCTGTATCCTTAAATTATAATAAAATCCTTTGCAACTCCAAAATATCACAAAATTTATAAATTATTGCTTAACAAATTGTTCACGCAAAATTGATTTCCTCCGATTACGAATTAATACAATTCTGTTCCTAGCTGGATTCACAGTATATTAAAATACAATGAATTATGTAAATATCGAATTACGAGAGAGATATGTATGGTAGAAAATAAATAATTATTTCGATAATTATGTAATATGAAATATGTAATATATTTATGTTTATTGTAATAATAATTATATATTATGTATTATATTTTTTGCTCATTACAATGTATCGGGAATGGGAAATAAGCAAAAAATAATATTTTTGTGTATTTGCATTCAATTTTATTTCTGGGAGATTTAAGAGCCAGAGAATATTTATTTGTGATTTTAAGATATTAAATATTACAAGAAAGTTAAAATTCTGGTATTCGGGTAACATGGTTCTTTAATACTAACAACATATCAGAATTTGTATTAGAGGAATCCAAAAATCCACGAACCCGTCGAGGAGTAGGTTTGTCACGTGTTCATTCAAACATTTTTGGCGTTTTCGCCCAGGAAGCGGCAGCATAATACTCAAGAGGAACCTCCAACACGGCAATATTTCCACAATCGCTAGAGCAAGTTGTTTCTGGTCTTTTGTGGATGTGGTATCACTGAAATTAAAGGATTAATTTATTTATTCGAATCCCGCGACGGTCGTTGGAAGTACTTACCCTTTAAGCATAATTAGTTTGTCCACACATTCCTTAACAAACAAGGAGGAGGAGGTGGCGTCGACGAAACCTTTGTTGCACTCTACACGATATCGGACAGACGGCGATTGGATTCTACTAAAGTATCCAGGACCAGACAAAAATGTCTTATTAAATAAAATATGAGATGAAATTATTCTTCGTTACTAACCTCTTTAAACAAACTGTAGCCCTATTCCTTGGCGGGAAGGGCAGGTGGCGTTGAGGACAAACCTAGAGAAGGATTATAAATACAAAATAATTAACTAGAAGTAGTAATAATAATGCAACTTAACTAACAATTACCGGTAGGAAATGCTTGTGATAAAGATGAAGGAGTATTGACATTGACGAATGTAGAAGAAGTCCCCTCCCCCTTTACGAGAAAAAGAAGATTCGTAGTCTTATCCTGGTCCAGAAGAAATGGCAACACATCCTCGTCAACATCACCGCCTTCTTCGTCTTCGAAGGAAATTTCTGCCTCCTCCGTTAACTTGAATTTTTTCCTCACTGGAAAATGAAAGTAATAATGTGAATAAAAGTTAAAAATAATTTAACAAATATTAAACAAATGTAAATAATAATGACTTACCTAAATCTACCAGGCTGGATAAGTTTTACTTTCACAAGCCAATAGGGAAAAAGGTGTTTGCGAGTGGCGCCGCGAGTGGCAGCTGTTGGCAATTCTGATCTGACTCCTCCGTATTACTCGTATAGCAATCCATTCTTGTCAACAATATTTTGCCAACAATTTTACAATTTTGAAATGACTAAAAGTGGCAAAAATTGTTGTGTATTCGGCTGTAACAGTACACAATTAAATTAAAGTGTAAAGAAAAAAGCTTTTATAGATTTCCTGGGCGGTCATGGGAAAAAGAAAGAAAGGAGACCTGGATTCAGTTTTTCAAAAGGCAAAGGTAAGTTTGAAAGTTATTTCAATAAATAATTTTGATGGTATTTATTATTAGGAAGGGATATCAGTACTTTAAAAAATATATAATTGAGCTATTCTAGCTGTGATTGCCACTGATGGAGTTTCCTAAAATAACTATTCTTATTGATTTGATTGAATAGTTAAGTTTATAACTTCTCAATTAATTTTGCAGTATCGACGGTGGAAAATGGGTCCCAACAATTCATTCGAGAATCTGCAATGACCACTTCATCGATAAAAAACGGTCCAATGATCTAAGGAGTCTTAGTTTTAATCCGACAATCAATTCCAGCTTGCGCCCAGGCACCGCCGAAGAAAGGAAACAGAAAGTCCAACGATATGAACGGTATCGTAGCTGATCGAAACTCGGAATCATAATAGTGATAGTAAGATTTAGTCATGATTAACATCTCCGTGCAAAATTCTTCTCGCGCTCGAGTTCCTTCCTGTTGTTCCACGCTTGTAACTAGAGTCCTCAGCAAATCATCGCACACACTGGAATCCTTATTGTCATCTTCAATTTTAAGTATCCGAATTAATGGGCAACGGAGGTCTGGTAGAATCGTTAGTATTTCTTTCACATTTTTGGATGGGATTCCAATCTCCTTTGGGTTGGTTGGAAACAATTCGTTAATCTTAATCCCGTCCGAGTACGATAATTTTGCCGTTGGTATACCCTACCCTTGAGGTTTTGAGGTGCAACTCTCTGTGGCGTCGGAGTTTATGAGAGCGACCGTGGCAGCAACATGTTTGCACTTCCCGATGATCCCCGCTTTGCATGTGCAGGACCCGGTCAGAATCTTTGGATTTTCATCAACCTGAAAACAAATCAAACCATATTTCATAGAAATAACAACAATTAAGAGAAACCACAGTGAATAATTACATCCGCTTAACTATAATTATTAACTCGGATGTTGATATTATAAGGGAGAGGAGATGTCCAGGCTTGAGGTGTGCACTTGGAGGTAATATCTGACGTGTTGTCGTGACCTATTTGCTCGGAAACTTGATGGACATGTTTGCCTTCAAACAGTAATTGGCCCTTCTTTAACGTTGATGCGCGAAAAAGGTTATCCACATTAATGGAGCTGAATCCACAAAACAGTGTAGTTGATGGAGCGGTCATTTCCTTTAGAGATTGATTCCTTTAATTGTTTAAAATAATTAAGTATCACTGTGAATCCGAATCAAAACTTTAAAAACCATGATACAAGATAGTCACAATCTTATCAATACATTGAATCACCAATCTTACCTTTCATCCACTTCCACCGACTAGGATTCCACTTTAGTTGGTTTTATCTTGTAAAATAATTCGTTTGGTTATTTAGTTTAAAATAATATTTAATGACAAGAAACTATTTGACAAGTGTGTATTGCAATGTAAACAAAAAGAAGACTCCAGTCCAGACATGCCATATTCTGCCACCGCGAGCTCTGTCGTCGAAACGACGGTGGCGATCCTAGCGTAGCCTTTTCCCCTATAACTGTGTACCTCTCGATGTCGGTGAGGAAAGGCAACAACTGCTGTGATTGCCGTAAGATGGCGCGTATTGTGGATGAAATGCCACCAGACTTGGTGAGAACCATCCTCACCAACTTTTCGGTGTAAATTCATGGCCAGGATTTACACCAGATTATTTGCAGTGTAGTTTACATCTTCATTAGAACCTACATACCAAATCTTAGTTCGATTGGGCGGCTTTTATAAATCGGTATGGGTAACCCCACACGAACTCCAAGTTGATAATTTTTCCAATTTCAATTCAAATTATTTCATTAGAAACCATTACCATGGTATGTACCAAGTTTTGTCTATATCCGATGACTTTGAAAAATCGGTATGGGTCACCCCCTAGTTCCCATTAAAATCAAAATTTTCCGAGTTTTAAATGATATTCTCAGACTAGACGTCATTAGCTACCTCTATGTCAAATTTCAGCTCCATTGGAAGATTTTCAGAAATCGGTATGGGTTACCCACTTGGGTCCCTCGAGATGACATTTTTTTCAATTTCACTTCATATTCTTCCTTTAGGAGTTATTAGCTACCTCTGTACCAAATTTCAGCTTCCTACGACTATTTCAAATTTCCGGTACCCTTGACCCACAACACTAATATGACCACCACCGGTCAACCACTTGACCGATCAAGCCCATCTTCGAATTTGATTCCTAACTTTTCTTCTAATGTGTTCTAAGTGTGGGCCAAATTTAAAGTCCATCGAATAAGTTTGAAGAGAGTAATCGTAAAACACACGGACGGACGGACGGACAGACAGACAACATGGGTACATAAGCCCTGGGTTGGGCTAAAAATCTGCTTCTGTAGCTGTGTTGAGCACCTCTTTGGGAATTTTTTAAAAATTCAAGGAAGTTCTATTCGTTTAAAAATGTGCGTTTTTTAAATAAATAGAATTTTGTCAAAAATTGTCAAACCCTGGAATGAGTACTTTTTAAAAATTCCCAAAGAGTTGCTCTACACAGCTACATAATTTTTTAAATAATTTGCAGCGCCGAGATATTATTAAAAATGTCAATATTCATGTCACAGCCAGAAGTGTCCT